CCTTTGTTGTAGATCTTTGCTGTAGTTATAACCTTCACAAGTACTGAAGTTCAGGTGGAGCTCTACAGATTTTGGAGTTATCCAGCTGCGTCTGGCTTAGGTCTGGCTGCTGTTCTCAGCTTCTTCCCGCTGTGGACCTGGGCTAGACTGGGTCTGGGGATTCCTGGAACTGGGCAGAATTTCCTACTCGGCGGGAGGGGTCAGGGAGGTATGGCGGAGTGGTGGGGGCGGCCCGAGGGGGTGGGAGAGGGTTGGGCCCACGCTGCGCCTGGGCTGGGACTGGTCCCGCCAGCGCAGGATAGCAGGAAGCTCTCCACACACTCACCGGACCTGGGCTAGGACTGGGTCTGGGGGTTCCCGGAAGTGGGCAGAGATTCCTACTCGGCGGGCAGATGGGGGGAGGTACTGCGGAGTGTTGGAGGGCGGCCCGAGGGGGTGGGAGAGGGTCCGGCCCATGCTGCGCCTGGGCTGGGACTGGTCCCACTGTTGCAGGTTAGTAGGAAGCTCTCCACACACTCACGGGACCTGGGCTAGGACTGTCACACTCATTTTAAAGAAGAAGAAATGACTCAGAAAATCAACAGTTGAGAAAGGAGTGAGGCACCAGGAGATGCACATTTACACACGTTAGTGACCAGTTCTGCCGAGAGTGAAACTGAGATGACCCTATTCTTTGTTAGAGATTCCTTGTAAATGACATCATGTGAACTGTCTTCCGTTTATTTTTCAAAGTCTCCTTCATTCTCTGACAAAACTGTCATGACCACCTTTGAGCAAGCCTCTCCACACACATAACAGGATATGCATTTTTTGTTGTATTAAAAGCTACCAAAGTGCTTTTCCAAGAGTTGTTCTTACAAGTAGCATATGAATATTTCAGCTTCTTCAGATTGTTACTAATATTTGTTCTTTTCTAGGTTTTAGCCTGCCAGTTCCTGAGGACTGTGAAATGGTGTTTCATCTTAATTTGAATTTCCCTGATTTTTAGTGTGCCTAACATTTTTCGTCATTTGATTTCACTCTGTCATTTAGTTTCATGAATTGCCTGTCAAGTTCTTTGCCTATTGAAATTAGGCTGCTTGAAATTTTATTGATTAGTGCAAGATTATTCAGATATATTAGAGTAAAATAATTCATAAGTGTTTCAAATGTCCTTTCACAGCATACTGTTTATTTCTGAACACTGTGTTTAGAATCTTTGTGGAAGAAATATATTTCATTGAACATATGCTTGTGTCAGTCTTCATGAGCTGTACTTTTTTTTCTGTATATGATTGGTTTTCAACGAAAGCATAATGTCACTTTGTGGTATTTTTTTAAAACTTTCAGATGACTACCAAGTTAGCTTCCAGACTTGCTACACATTTATGTACCAAAATGATGACAAATGTGATAGTGCAGATGCTACCCAAAACACTCAGACTAAAGTGGATATTACGTGGGTTCTCCTCCTGCGCTACTTTATACACCTGCAGAGAATTAATAACATGAGCAAGCTGCTGGGTAAGTTTCCATGTGTTAAGGGAAGACCATATTCCTTTCTGATTCTTGTTTAGGTCATGTTCTTTTAATTTAAAATCACATTTAGAATGACATTGTTAAAATGTGACTTGAGGGGCCGGGGAGATAGCTCAGTAGAATAAGCGCTTGCCTGGCAAGCGCAGGGGCCTGAGTTCAATCCCTGGTTCCGCATTAAAATGACATTGTTCTGAGTAAACTGTCAAGAGGTGAAAATTCCAAAGTTTGTCACTTGGGTTACACAAATGTTTGGATAGACTACTCCTTCACTGTAATTGATTTTCTTATATTGATTACATATATTTGAAAACTTCATGATATGGGGCATTTGGAGGCTCCTCAAGATACACAAGTGGTTCCGTGTAGCTGGGATGCAGTTTTGGCTGTAGGGGTTTTTGCAGGACGAGGGATGTGAAAAAGAGGAAATGTCTGAGTTAGGATGGGACATTTCATTCTGTGGACTTTTTGTTTGGTTGTTGATGTTTTTAGGGACTAAAGAACATTTAGAAAAGCTAATAAAATCTGCTTCATATCAGACCTGCCTGTCACTTTTTGCCAACACATACTGTATTTTTTCTCTGCCCCTGAAGTTGGTGATCAGTGCAGTTAGAAAAGACAGTCTGACCCAGGCCAGGACCCAGGGATGGGGAAGACAGCAGCGCAAAGGGGCTGAGTCCCAGCTGAGCATGGTCCTCAAATGGCACAGGCAGGCACTTGGAAAGGCGAAAGATGTCAGGGCTGAAGTTTTCTCATGATGGGGAGAGAGAAAAAGGGAAGTGCAACAGTGAAGGACATAGGCACTCACCAGGGTGGACCACCCCGAAAATGCATGGCCCCATAGCGATTCAGCTCGCCTCTGAGTTCACCTCCCCACTGCCCGCACAGCAAGCACCCACGGCTTGCAGGTTTTGCAGGATCAGGTATGTGAAAAAGAAGAAAACTTTCTAAACCAACTTTCTTGGAAGCTCTGGGACGGCTGGAGCTATCAGGAATTCTACATACTCAAGACTAACCTCTAACTAGTGAGGTGGGCAGCATTCCAGGTCAGTGGTGGATGACATTCCAGCTTCTCTGTCTCACTGGGACTGTTCCCCCTGCTCCTGCAGAAGGACCCCAGAGGGCTGAGCCCTCCTCCATGGCTGCAGCCCACTCGTCCATTTGCTCATCCTTCAAGTTTCTTTTTTGTTTCCCCTGTTGTGCTTTCCCCCTCCCTTCACTTGTAATCCTTGAGATCACTTTTTAGATAAATTACCTGTACCCGTAAGGATCTGTTTTGGGGAGACTTCCAAAGAGACAGATATACAGGATACATGGCACCACTGTTAATTCTTGAAAGTGAAAGTAGTATCTACAGGGGTCTCAGAAATGTTCTTTCCTTCCTGAGGCAAGAAGCGAGTCCGTTAGTGTGGGATGTGTACCGATAGAAATAGAAAGTGATCGGCAGCCTCTGCGCCATGTGGGAGTGCAGGATGGTGCTTAGTGGGCGAATACCACCAACAGGGAGGTCATTCTTCTCCTAATATGAGCCTCAAAAAGTGTTTCTCTTCCCTAAGCATCTGCAACCCCAGGATCCGGGATCTCTTTGCCAGATGATACGCTTCTCACATCGCTGTACAACACTGACCTGATTTTACGCCAAAAAGAAATGCATGTTTTTCTTAAAAAATTCTTACATTTGTATTCCTCTTCTTGTATCGATGACTTTCCAAAAGAACTTCTTCAAGGACTGGAAAATCTGGCTGATTCAGAAAAAGTCTTAAATGAATCATCAGCCAAGGTAAGGTTTTGAAACATTATATGTCTGTTTAAATCTTGCTACATTCATTCATATGTTTCCAAAAGAAGCTTCAACTCTCTGAGTTTGTAAGAAAGCTCATTTCTCTCTTACCATGTAGATAGCCTGATCAGGATAGCTAGGTTTTCAGGACAGTTTACATTTTAAGTGTTCTTTCTTGCTTCAGAATTTTTCAGGATTTTCTAGATTCCCATATAAAGCAGCATCTTTCAGGCAGCTGTTTTGCCAAGAAATTATACAAATTCAATATCACCACCCTACAGTAAAATAATTCTCAGAATTACTGAAGTTTTCCTTAGTTTGTATACCTTTGTTATAAAAGCCACCCATTATGTGCACAGTTACAGTTGTATGAATACCTAAGTAGACAGATGTATTCCTCCAGCTACGTCCTATTGGGTCATGACAGCCTCCTCAGGCGGGCCAAGCTCCTTAAACATCTGTTGTATGTGGAAGCAGTGAATGTTCACTCTGCTCAAGTTCACTTAGGTCAAGTTCACCAACCAAGTAACTTCTGCAAGGAGGGGCATAAGGAGACAGGATGTCCAGGAAGATGGGGTGTCTGGGAATGTATGGCATGAAAGAGCAGATTTGGGGTGCAGCTATTCCCAACAACTCCAGATTCTGAGGCACCCTCTTCCTGGGAATAGAGACTGCCTGTGAGGATGATTCTCTAATGGTTGATCCATCGTGTTAACCTCAGAAGGTTAGAAGTTTAAGTGATTCAGCAGGGGTCAGGCGCCTCACTTTGTAAACACCCTTCGCCTGCTGTAGGAGGAGGGCAGGGAGGTAGTGTAAATGCTCCTCCTGCCTGCCCTGCCCTGGGTGGGCAGCCTGCTTGCAGTATAGGGAGGAAGAGAGGCTTGCTCAGTCCCTTTTGCTCTTGCTGCTTTCGCTGTCTTCAGCCACCGGAGCCATACCACTCTGCCTTGGAGCCAGCTGATGACAGACTGGAACCCCACAAGCTGTGGCCAAAGTAAACCTTTTCTTCCTTAATTTTGGGCATTGGGTATTTTGTCTCAGCAATGAGCAAAAGGTAACTAAGACACTGTGCCAGACCCCAGGTAGGTTGTGAAGCAGTAGGCAGGGGAGGGCAAGGCTGAGAAGAGTAGTTCCGCTGGATGCATTCTTGCACATATTGGAAACTGACATGTGACTTCTTAACTACACTTGTGAAAGGTGCTCGGCTGGAGTATTTTGTATTAAGGGCAGCCTGCCATTACCCAGTTCCTAAGGATGATGATCCAGAGGTGCAGCTTTGAATACGTTGTAAATACAAGTGACATTTCCAGTGGCAGCAGGGTTATCAAAGAGTTGTCTCACCCTGTTTGCTCTTTTTTGATATAATTAGTGTAACACTCTCCCAGGATAATCAGCTCTGGAGATCACTGTCGCTTTCCTGACAGGTGCAAGCTACCTAATCATGTGTTTGTTTCACTGAGGTAGACAGCTAATGAGCAGAAAGCCTTTTGGATTTTTTTTTTTATAAACGCCAAGGTTGGCTGATTTTTATAATAACATTTTTGAGCCTTTAATCACTCAGGAGGCTATTTCAATCAAACTCTTTCCGTAATTCTCTACTCTAGCCTGCTTTTCCCCCAGAAAGAGGTAGATGTTTTTCTGGAACGATCATTGCTGTGTTGTGCTCATCAGTGTGAGTCTGGAATCATCAAGAGTATTGGAGCTTTGTGGTGGGAAAACAAAGGTGCCAAACAAATTACATGAGAAATTCTCAAAAAGGAAGGTGATTAAAATTGAACGCAACGCTTCCAGACTGTGTGGCGGCCTGTGAGCGTCTGTGTAAAGTTAAATATTTGAGTAGCACAGAGTAGCTCGTAGCTTGTGGAACTGTGACAAGCTAAGGTTGGTGAAGCAGGGCTGTTGTTTTTATTTTTTTTCAAAGTATAAAGACAACATGTAAAAATACTCAGTGTGTAAGTGACAGAGTAGTGTAGGTAACCAGTCCCTTCAGCAACTGGTTATTATCCCATTTTAACGATGATAGACAATTAAATGATTATTTTTGTATTGACTTTTGTTATAGTAATCCATTGTCAGAGCTTCCTGTTATTGGATACCACATTTGTTGAGATAAAAGCTACTTGCTTTTTATTTTCCTACACTTAGCTAGTAATAAATATGAATTCTTTGCTAAAAGTTTTTAGACTGTTTGAAAATTACCTGGCTAGGAAAAAGTGAGAAATTATTTTTTCAATCAATTATTTACCTGATTATTTTTTTGTGGACATCCTTATTATGTCTTCATTAAGCATTCTTAAATGTCTACTTAACCATAAAAACTTTTGCTTATACATGAGGATTTTGGCTTCTATGCTTTTATGATGGCCTCTAGGCAGTTGTAAAAAATTTTTCGTGTCTAATGTTACCATCAGTCAGAACATCTTTTTTTTTTTTTTCTTTTATCAGTAGACAACTTGAAGGTCAGTGCCTTTCCCTTTTTATTTTGAGGACTTGCATTCACAGTCTTGACCAGACTCAGAAATATTGAAAGGGACAAAGGCTTATAAAACGCCAAACATTTCTCTCTGGTGTTGACATGTTCCCCTTGGTTACCAAGCCTTGGGATACTGTAGATGTCAAAAAGAGGGCCCCTGGTACTGTTTCCCAGCCAGGACGCTGTGGTTTGGAGCATAACAAGAAGTTGATTTCTAGAAGAGCTTGCACTCCATTTAGACTTGAGGTATTGTCATTGCTGCCATCTCTCCAGCTAGCCTATTATTTTGTTGATGAGTACCAACTATACTTTGCTTTCTTAGCTGCCTTATATAATAAATTAAGCAACTTATAAAGTGTCAATTTGTTCCATACATTTATGTTTCCCAAAGACTACTTGTTCAGTGATAAAGTTCCATAAAAGTTCATCAAAGTCTCAAACTTCCTAGCCCACCACATTCATTTCAAAAAGAATGAGAGGAAAGGATTTTAATCTTTTAACTAGAACAAAAACCGTGTTTATTTTGCATACAGCACTGCTATTGGAAAACAGTATAGAATCTATAGCCAGATGCTCTGTGTATTCGCCAATGAGTAAACCAGGAATAACAAAGAAGGTATTTCTTGGAAAAAGTGGTGACATTGAGGCTGAAAGATTGTGGGCATTTTCCCCCTGCAGATGTTCACTCCGGAAGACTCGCTGAAGTAGAAGGTGTTTGTTGAGCTCACGAGGTTCTAAAAGCATATTTAGGAGAATCTAGTATAATCTGGGGGCAATTTTAAGATCTGCCTTCATATGACATGATCTGAGACAATTCTAAGAAATTTCCAGTGTAGCTCATTAAATTGTTTGAAATATTGAATGCGTGAGTTCATTATCAATTATTTAACTGACATAAAGGTTTTCTTCTTGTTATTATTCCTTAGTTAAATCGTGGCAGTTCTCTACAGTCTGTTTTATCTTTGAGGACCTTTGCCAACCCATCTTATGTGGAAAGGATGTCGACAGAAATGGCTTCGCAAGCTTTAGACAAAGAACTTTGTTTCCAGTGGTATATCCCGCCCCTGGACCGACCTCCAGAGGAAACAGAGCCCATGGTATGTCAAATAATGACTGAGCTAAACTTTCCCCAGGTAGAAAGTTTAACAGGCCTTTATAACTTGGACAGGAGTGGGCATCCATCTCTGAACTCCTGGAGATTGCACAGTGATTCACATTCGAGGAGAGTGTTGAAAAATGGGTCAGGCTTTTAAAAATGGAACAGTTGGTCAATATAGCCTTTTGCAGAGGAAGCTTCCACTGCAGAATTCCTTTGATTGCTGCTTTCTCTAAGAAGAGCCTCAGGCTTTTCTTTTTTTGTTCCATAACATATTGGCCATATAGTTCTTCCCTACTCAGCATTTTTATTTGCTTTTCTGTCTTCTGCGCAGGCCCTCTCTGGCCCTTCCCAGCCCTTGAATGTTGTCCCCTCTAGCTGTGCCTCTGGTAGCTTCTGCACCTCCTTGACTCACATGACCCCTGTCAAATCATGAAACCTACTGGGTCTGCCTCTCTTTGTTTTCTGCCATCGCTTCCCACATGGGGCCCTTCATCCTGCTTCCTTAGGCTGGAAACCTGCTACTAACTGTTGGCCAATTATATATCTCTCTCTACTCAGAAAAAAGGAGAAACTCTAGCACAGATAGACTTTTAGATATACTTAAAACTATTTCGTCCCTTTTAAAATATATTCATCCCCTAGTATCTTCTGGGGATTGGTTCCAGGACTCCCCAAAGCTACTAAAATCCATGCATGCTGAAGTCTCTTATACAATGGCATTATGTTTGCATATAACCTGCGCATGTCCTCCCATATGCTTTAAATCACCTCGAGATCACTTATAGCACCCAAGACACTATGAACGCTGTGAGTGTTTGTTAGGCTGTATTGTTTATAGGAAAAGGTTGTACGTACTCAGCACAGGTACAGACACATTTTTCCCCCAATACCTTGAATCTTCTGTTAGCTGAGCTTGTAAGTGTGGAAACTCTGGAAGACCACGTGCACTTTCTTTCTCCCTCTTCCCAGGTCACATCCTTGCTGGGCGTTACATGTACATTTTAAAATGATGACTCAATGGTACCGTTTAGGGGAGTTTACTGCAGTAGTTTTCAAATTGTGGTTCTATGAATATTAATAAGTCTGGGAATCAGTGGAGTAGATCATGAGTAGCATTTGTAAAATGAAATAAAACACAAGGGAAAATATTACAATGCTTCCTGTATAGTAGGTAGAAAGACCTTCTAAACCTTTTTTGTCTCATGGTATATATTGCTAAAAGCAAAATTTCCTAGGTAGGTTGATATTCATCTTATATCATTACTTGGAAACATAAAGCATAATGCTTATCTAAGCAACTAGGTTTGAAAAATAAGGAATAAAACTCAAAGTTTAATTTTACAAGGTCATGGAAACATCATATCCCTGTGTTGGAAGGGAAATTGGGACTGGATGACCCTGGATGTCCAAATACTGGCTTTAAAGCAACAACAAACTAATATGTAAGAAGCAAAAACATATGTGGCATAGTTAGAATAACAAGGTTTTGCCCATAAACAATCCTATCCTACAATCAACAAGGGTTCACAAACAGATAGACATTAGACATTAGAAACGAAGGTCCAACTAACAAATTCTGTTTTAAGCACAATAATTTTCTCAAGACAGAAAAAAATAAGTAGAACACCCAGTTCTCCCATTTCTTAGTTTGGATGCATTTCTTTTTCTTTTTCTTTTTCTTTTTCTTTTTCTTTTCAGTTTTAATAGCAAGTGTATATATTTTAGTCATGACTAAAGACACAGTTGCTGTCTTTACTTAGGCAAAAAATTGAGAAATAGTGGCTTACATGAACCAAATCATCTCAGACCCCCAATTGTACCTTTTTTTTGAAAAGAATAGTGAAAAATTTTTACATACTTTCTTTTAAAAAATTGAGAATAAAATAGTGAGAAAAGCATGAAAATGATTCACACTTTCACTAAACAAAATGGTTGTTATATTGCATATTATTGTCTTCAGATTAGCTGTTTAGAATACCAGATATAAGAATGCAAAATTGGTTTAAAAAATTATAGGGGCCCAGCAGGCTTGCTCAGTGGACTAAAGCACCACTTAGGCAAGCCTAGGAAAGTCAGGGACCAAAGTTCGATTCTCAGCACCACATGCCGTGCCAGCCCTGCCCCCAGGTTTAGTGGCATATGCCTGTAATCCCAGCTCTGGGAGGCTGAAAACAGGAGGATCACTATGGGTCCGAACTGCATAGTGAGACCCTGTCACAACCAAATACATTAAGAGAAAAAAAAATATTAAAAACTTTAAAAAAAGAGAAAAAAAATTAAACCTTAATTGCTCCTTTCAGTAGACCACCAGAAATCAGCAGAACAGTTATCCAAGCTATCCTGTGCATATACATACATATTTCTTCTCTCTCTCTGCTTCCTTCCTTCCTTCCTTCCTTCCTTCCTTCCTTCCTTCCTTCCTTCTTTCTTTTCCTCCTTTCCTCCCTCCCTCCCTTCCTTTTTTCCCTCATCCCAGTTGTTCCTTCCCTTTCTTTCCCTTTCACAGTATCTATTGTACCTTTTACATTGTATTTATTCTTTCAAGGAGAACACTGAGATTTCATGCTGTAAATATTGTGCATCATGAGCCATCATTTTAAGACTTTAGTGTTTGTTGTTGAATATCTGACTGAAGCTCATGAAATCTGTAGCATAATAGTAGTAGGAACTTGTGTAGAGCTCACTGTGTTCTGGATACTTCATTACACTAACTCTGTGAGACAAGTGACATTATTGGTAGCATTTCACGGAAGAGACTGAGGCACAGGATGGATCAGTGCTCCTCTGCAAGGCATCACATCGCAGCGATCTGACACCAGAATCTGTGCTCTTAGGCAGAGGGGCCTTTGGAGTCCTCAGGTGGTGACTGCAGGCTCACCTTGCCTCTGAAAAGGACAGCGAGGAAAACTACTATCTGCTTCACACTTTAGAGTTTCCAGGGACTGTGTAGGTCACTGTGTGACACAGTGAGTTCACATCACTTCCTCCACCTACTTGATTAATTTCATTGTCCCGACAGCATTGAAGCAAAAATGTCAGTAGGACCTAGGGGTGCCTTAGAGTAGAAATCCTGGCATTGGGAATTCTGATATGAATTTCTTTTGATAAATCAGAATAATAAATATCTCCATGTCATTGTCCTTTCAGTTAAATTCATAACTTGGAAATGTTTAACTTCTTAGTGCAGGAAGTAGAAATTAACCATTTGAATAAATAATCTTTAGTAGAATATAATAGAACTATATGGGAAGTTACTCACTGGTGCTTCATTATGACATAAGCATCTCTCTTTTTTTTATTTTTAGTATGTGTGTGTGTGTGTGTGTGTGTGGCCAGCTCAGCCCACCAGGGGGCGGGGCTGGCTGGCATGTGGTGCTGGGGGATGGAACCGCAGCAAACTGAGGCTGCCAGCATTGTGGAAGCAGCCACTTAAAGAACTGAGCTAGGGCTGGGCCCCCATAAGCATCTCTTGAAAATTTCAGTATCTTATAAAAACAAACTCTGTTGAACAGGACATGGTTCATTCATGTATTGTACCAAAAACTATCATCTTAATGAATTTCCCAGATACTGGTCTTAATGATAGTTGTGAAGAGCAGTAGGTTTAAGTCAGAGAGCCATATCACCACAGCTCATCCACAGAAAGATGGGGCTCCAACCCCGAATTCCATGATCACCAAATTTGGCTCAAATTTGGAGCTTGTACCTCAGCACCTTGAACTTTATCCTGCCCGATATCCTGCTGCTTCTTGCATTCAGGTTCTCACTTGTGGTTCAGAATAAGATTTGAACTATGTTTATAACTTGATCAAGCCAAAACAGCAGAGCTCAGAGTTGGTACAGGGGAGGGATAATAAAGATTCAACAAGCCTGAGGCCACAGAAGACTCAGACAGACAAGCATGACCAAATGCAGAAATCCAATCAAGCAAGACACTGAAAAGCATGACCGTTGACTGGTGCCAGGAGTTGTGCGTCTTCAGGGCACAAATCCAGGCAGTCTGGGAAGTAGAGATGTGGTGTTAGTGTTGTTTTCTGGAGGTGCAGGGTCCCAGATAAGCAGGTCATGGATTCAAGACCAGCCCAGGAATAGCAAGAGGCTGAGAAGAGTGAGGGCTGTCACAAGAGCACAGGCTGCAAAGCCTGAACTGTGCCCTCCCACAATTTCCCGGTGCTCAAGCTCCTGTAGTAGTACAGAAGACGGGGGCACGGGTCCTTGCAGCCTTCTCCGTGTACTCTTACCCACTGTACCTTCCCCTGTCCTGTTCAAACCATAAGTGTTTACCTTATGATTTTAAATATAACTCAGAAGAGCCAAGTGGGATGCTGGTTCCTTTCTTCCTACCTTGTTTCCTGAAGAGAAAAATTGCCCTTTTTAAACTTAGTTTCCTACATATTTTAATTAATTAATTAATTTGATTCAGGGTCTTGCTACGCAGTTCAGACTTGTAGTGATCCTCTTGTCTCAGCCTCCCCAGTGCTGGGATTATGGGCGTGCGCCACCATGCCTGGTTTGGGTGGCCAGCATAGCATGCCCAGGATTCCAGGGCTGGCACAGCATGCAGTACCAGGGATCAAACTCAGGTCCTTGCACTTGCCAGGCAGTTGTTTAGATTGCTGAGCTATCTTCCCAGCCCCCTACATATTTTAGAAACTGATTCTTTCTGAACTTTCAGAGACCCGCACACTTCATATGACCCACCTCATGGTTGTACCTCTCAGTGTTTTCCTCCTTAGGTGAACACCCAGATTCACTTGCCTCCAGATCTTACCTGTCATCTCAAGAGTCCCATTGTCCATCCTCTTTAGAATTTCTTCATCTCTTCACAAGGTGTGCTCCTGGGCACCAAATGCCACATTTCTCTGTCTTGACTCGAACCTTTGCATAGGTGTGTGTGATATTTGGAGCATCTTGACAGAGGGTATCCTTCAAAGGATGCACTGCACTCTGTGACGTGTATTCATCAGGACCTTAGGAGAACACATGGGATGGCAAGATAGCGAAAGCCCTGGTCACTGTGAACAGATCGAAATGTCCAGGGACCTCGCTCTGTTGGACAGGACATGGTTCATTCATGTATTGTGGACTAGAAAAATAAGATGAGATAGCAACCAGGAAGTTGTCTTACTTGAGGAATATTTTGTATCTTTGTTCATGTAGTCCACATCACATGTAGGATCAGAGTCAGTAGTACAAATAGAAACAGCAGTAGAATCCAGATGCAAATCACCAACATGCACATTTTCTGTAAGAAAAAAAAAGTTAACAGTGGTTCAGGCATCTTATTGGTGAGTTTCAGACTGCAGGACTTACCTACTTTAGTCACCAGTGGGTACTTCTCCTTTAGACATGACCAAGGACCTGCATCATGATGTTACCCTGAGAAGATAACAGAGCTGCAGTAGACCAACAGAAATGATTCAGTAGGCAAAATGATTTAAAATGTCTGTAAAGAAAGTTTTATTTTAATACTTAAGTTTTTATGCATAGAAATCTAGAATATTTATCCTTGTATATCTCTTCCTACCCCAACTTGCTTATCTACTGCCTGTCTCTATATATTTCCCTATTCTGAATACTCAAAATGTAAATTCTTTCCACCTAACTATAATTATGTATCCTTTGACCAACATCTCCTTGCTGTCCAACCTAGCCATGCCCCTGGTCATCACTATTCTACTCTACTGCGTTATGCAGTAGTTGTTTTTCTGAGTCTGGCTTATTTCAAGTAACATTATGTCTTCTGGGTTCACTCTTATGGCCACAGGTGACAGGATGTCACCCCTTTATAGCTGACAAGTATTCCATTGTGAATATTCTCTTTATGCACCCACCAGTTGATGGAAACTAGAAGGACTTCATAGCTTGGCCGTGGTGAGCAGTGCTGGAAATGCATTAAAGTGCAGATGTATCTTTGGCACACTTACTCTCTGTCTGCATGTCCAGTGGTGGGAGCTTAGGTCTTTACGACTTTGCACGCTCTGGGGTTTTCTTCTGTTCTCTGTGTTCTGAAATTCTATGATGTGTCATGATGTCGTCTTTCGTCCATGTTAGTCCTGGACATTTAGGGTGCCCTTTACAATCTGGTAAGTAGTATTCTTCAGTCTATAGAGATGTTTTCTTTTATGGTTCTCTCCCTTTGAGGATCTCTGTGTCTTCTTGAACAGTGAACATATTAGGTTGTTTAATTTTCTTGTCTTTTTTTCTGTTACCCATGCTTTTACATTTAGTTTTTACTTTGGGGGACATAGATTCAACTTTATGTTTCAAATCTTTTGTTGGTTATTTAGTTGCTGTGATTATATTTTTAAGAGCTCCTTGTTCCCTGGTTGTTTGATTTTAATTGCACTGTGTTATTGCTTCATATTTGTCCTTCTCTCTGAGGTGTTAATCATGGTTTTATTGAAGGTTTCTTCTGCACTCTGTATTGTATCTGATTCTCCAAGCTCTTTTCTTTCTCTTGTTTGGTTTTTGCCTTTCATTTCCTGACCAGTGGTCTTGGCTGTCTATTCATGCTTGTAGCAAGGCAGTGAATCAGGCTTTGGTTCAGGCATATTGATCCAGGGCTCTCCTGATAGGATCATTGAAAAGGAGCCAGCAGTTCCATATCTTGAGTTTTTTCTCTTTAACTGGTCAGTTCCCCCAAGAGGATTTTCTGGGACTTCTGTTTGGATATCTACATTCTGGAAAGGGGCTGTTGGTGGGGTAGGAGAATATATGTTATTCAGAATAAATTAATTTTAGTATTTCTGCTATAGTACCTTGTTCCTAATGTCTCTGAATATAGAACCTCTCTGATTTAATATCATCAGAACAGCATGGAAGAAAGTTGGCTGAAAGGGAGATGGGAAAGAAATGGGGGGGGGGCTCGGCAGGCCTGGGCCCACAGAGGGGCTCAGAGGGAGGTTGTGCAGCCCTGCTGCTTGCTGCCCCTGCCACTCCCACCTCTGAGGGTGCCTGAACCCCTGGCCCTGGACAGCTTTCTGGTTTTAGGTCCTAGTTTAATTTTCAAGGAAGCAGAGATAAATACAAGGATTTAATTAGTTTTGGTGGTCAGTCCTGGGTCTCCGCTTTGTTAGATCTAAGCTGAGGGAATTAGACCAGATCATCTCTCAGGTTCTATGAGTCACAGATTCTGTGAGTTTGTGACTAGAAGTGAGGGCTGTATTGTATGGGGCTGATAGCAAGATCTGTTGGAATCTGAACAGGGGGATTACTAGAGCGTGAGTTGTCAAGAGCAAGTACGCCTAGAGATGGGAGTGGAGAGTGGGGTGTGGCCTGAGAAATGGAAAAGAGGGACAAGAACAACATGAGTTAACTCCTGGGAACGGGTAGAACGCTGAAGGGAAAAATATAGATAAGGAGAAGGAACAGGAAATACAGTTAGATATTCACCAGGTAGGTGTTTAGAGCTTCCAAAAAAGGTTGTTCAAAAGCTAAAATTTGAACTTCATTGAAGTACTGAATGTCACTCTTCAAAAACAATTTAACATTGCCAAATAGTGTAAGATTTTCATCTTATTCTCTTTGCACAATGTTTATTCCTATCATTTCTCTTTAAAGTGAGTTGGAAGGGCTTGGGGGCTCAGGTTTCAAATTTCTTTCCTAAAGAAAAAACTTTATGACGTGAAGTATTAGTTTTTGAGGGCTAAGGCTGACTGTTGTGAGGCAGCATGATTTTGCTATTTGATTTTCTTTTTCTTACAGGTCTTGTTATTGTACGCATATAATATGAAGTCTATGAAGATTACAGACATCAGAAATTCCACCTCTAACAACATATGTGTTGGCTCTTTGTGGCTTCCTCTGAAAAGGTAAGTAAAGATGGCTCGACCTCTGGGCTAATCCATCTGAACAGCAGCTTCCATAAGGCAAGGGTGAAGAACAAGGGACCCTCACCTGGTGTTTTTGAATGAATCGTGTTCTTTAGGGAGCATTGTAGCCATGGACTTTGTCTCATGAACTCTATAGCATAAACTCTGCATTCCATATGTTTGACTCAAATGCCAGTGATTCATTCCCCTTACCTAATCACAACATTGAACAGTGCCTTTAACTGCTACATGCCTCTATTTCCCCGGTTGGAAAATTAGCAGTAACAACAGTATCTGGGGTTGCTGGAGGGAGACCTCATGACACTTCTTAGAGATTGCAGATTGTTCAAGGATATTGTCTGCAGTATATTTTGCCTGCAGTTTTGGTGTATATAGCTAACAATATAGCTCTCTGTGGGTTGCAACATGAAGCTCAGACTCCCGGCGTCCTCGCCTCTGTGCTCATACTTAACTTTTCATTGTCCCAAAGTGTAAAGCCTGCAGCGGCCAGAAGCTCTCTCTCTCCACCAAACTGGACCTCCTCAAGCTTTTGCCCACTCTTGGTTTCTCTTTCGCCATTCCACTCTACCAACTTGTTTAAATTAAAAACCTGTTTTATTACTTAATCTTAACAACACCGTCCATGGCCTTGGAATGTTGGCTTCTGTTTCTTTCGTTGTGAGGTGGGAAGGATGCTCCCTGTGCTGTAGGATTGCAGGTTTTCATGGCGTCAGCCCTGGCAGTGGAGGAGTGCGCCTTGTCCATCTACGTCAGGCACCTGGGCAGATGCACTGTGAGAGAGCTATGCCCTCTGCTCCTCCGCAGAGTCCCCCCGTGCCCTGATTTCATGTTGAAGGATTTCTTTGTCTCCCCATGAAAGAGAAGAAAGCAAGAGCCATTTCAAATGCTGGACAACTTCTAGTCATTTGACTTCTTCTGTTTTTGAGAAAAATGGCCAAAAACCCCGTTGGGTAAGGGTCATGTGACAGCAGAGCTAACCAACAATGTTGGGAAATTTTGCCCTTGCCTTATAAATCCAGAAACATAGGATTTTTTTTCAGACCCACATGATGAAAATAATTATGATATTTGCAGAATAGAAAGCCCAAAACTGCTATGCTTTATTTTTATTCCAATACATTCTTAATTTTGGTGTTTATAATTAATAATCAAGTTACTCAACAGGATCTAGTCCTGTCACTGAGGCCACCACGGAAAATGGTGCCTGACAGTTTTGCAGCAGACCTGTTCTTTGGTGACACCGTGCTAAGGGACTGCTTCTGTCCCTTGGGCAGCCTTCCTTATGTTCCGAAGAAGGTCAAAGTCAGGACTTGCTTATCCTTTAGGAAGCAGTGTCGGCATAAATTGGGTCATAAAAGCAGTCAGCCAGAGCAAATTCTCTTTTTATTCTCTACTTTTTAAAAAAGCTACCATTTAAGTTCTCATAAAGAAAAATATTTTTAATTTTTGTATTTTTTTCTTACAGCAACAAAGAATAAATAATGTTCATAGCAAACTCACCTGGCAGTCTCTTGTGTGGCTCAGAGCGGCAGCTCTGCTGTCTGAGCAAGAGCAAGGTCTCCGCTCTTTCTCAACTTTTAAACCTCCTGTCACTCCAGCATTCAAGCAGCTACCTCCAGCTGGCTCCTGCCCTCCAGGCCATGGCAGAGGGGTGCAGGATGCCAGGGAGCAGAGGCCACAGGAAGCTGGTCCAGCCCCAGCAGGAGAGGGATCTTGTGTGTAGCACCAGGGTAGCCCAAAATCTCATCCTGCACTGACCTGGAGGGAAGGGGGAGCGGAGGAGTAAGGGAGTGGATGGTGAGCCCCAGGCCAGGCCTGCGAGCACAGGAAGGCTTTTTACAGGACTAGACGGTGCTCTTTCCTCTATGGGAGGCATTACTGCAGTTTGGAGCCTTGGTGAACAATCTGCGACCCAAACGCCATAGCGTAGCTTATCTTCCCTGCAGTCTAAAGAGTATGAGAGAAGGCTGTGCTTCTCTTTTTCTCTTTCATTTTTGAGAAGGTGGGCATTGGATCCAGGGTCCTGTGCAGGTCCTGTGCATTGTCTGCCTCTCAGTGGTCCTGTGCCATTTTGGGAAGAGAAATAAGTTTTGTTGTTTTTTCTCTCAGTATTAGAATGAAGAATGGTGTTTTAGAATGCCATCTTTTCTTTATGTGCTTTTGATAGTGGAGAATTATATCATTATATATTTTGTTCTACAAAAGCCCTGTGAATTAAATGAAATGGGCTTTATTATTCCAATCTTGCAGAAGAAATGTCAGGGGCCTAGAGGTTATGACTCACTCCAGATCACGCGGCTGGCGTGTGATGGAACCAGGTATGACTCACCAAGTCCGTGGGGTGATGATTCAGACCACTGTCCAGGGCAGCAGCAGGCAGTGTTTCCAGAATCATTCAGGCTTCCGTCCTTTGTCCAGGGTAGCAGGTAACATTTCCAGCATCATTCAGGGTTCAGTCCTCTCCAGGATGGTAGAAGTGTTTCCAGCATCATTCAGGGTGATCCATTTTGTAAGTGGACAAGTTTTCCAAATAAGCTTTTAACAACAAATCTTTATGTTGTAATAGTTACCTCTTTAGTAGAAAAGTTTCTAAAGTACACTGCATCAGTTAAAAGCCCCATGTATAATTAAAGATTTGTAATATTTGATTGCTGAGAACCATCATTAGGAAAATCACATAGTACTTCAGGCTGCAGATGAGGGGCCTACGGAACAGCGGGGAATCGACAATTCTGTGTACACTGTGGATGCCACTTGGTTTCTGAACCATTTCCTTGTTTTTCATGGTTCTCTTCCTCTGCAGATGGAGACAGGCACATGCACATGCACTTATCCACAATGGGTCCCTAGGACAGCGACACTGAGGGCCACCACTCCAGTGGCTTTTTGCTTCTTTCCTTTGCAAACCTACCTTTGTTTTATAAATTTTTAGGGCAGGGTTGACAGGGTGTATAGGGTCTCACTACACAGATCAGACTCATAGCAATCCTCCTGTTTTCAGCCTACCATGCGCTGGGATTACAGGCACCCACCACCATGCCTAGTTTCAATCACCATCTCAGTGTGTCCCAGGAGCGGGGCCAGCAGGGCGTGCCCGGGATCAAACCCCAGCTGCTGCGCTCTGCAAAAGCAGGTGCTTTCGTCCGCTGAACTATCTGGCTGGCCCTACCTTTCTTCTCCACTGCCCTGGCCCACCTCTGTCCTTGGAGCGGCCTCTGTTCATAGGCTGGGGCCTCTGAAGTTCTGTGTCTTCAGTATTGTTGCCACTGTGTCCTCTTCCTCTTTTCTGGCTCCTGCTTTTCCTTCCTTCTTGCTTTTCCTCCCCAGCTCTCCTCCTCTGCTGTTTCTGCCCAGTGCACAGTATGTAGTGGGCTCCCTGGCTGGCTTTTTTCGACCCTTACTAAGTTGTCAAACCCTTACCTTCAGACAGGCAGATGCCCTATAGCATGGTGTTGAGATTGACATACGAGTGATGGCCTAGAGTTTCCCAGCTGGTGTACTATTTGTTTTCTTTGTTTTCATCTTCAGCAGTAGCTGGGACATTCCTCTCTTTTCGCCATGCCCTGCTCCTCATGTGCTAGGATACCTATGAACCTCATCACGTACGTGAAGTGTTGGGGTTGTGCCTCTTAGCTCCTTTGCTCATGATTCTCAAAGGAAAGGAATGGGTGAGGGCATGACGATTGGGGGTGTCAGAAATCTGATAAATGAAGTCTTATTCCTACATCTTATTGCCTGGAAAAATAAGCCAGTGCTTCTCCTAACTTTTCAAATAAAATGCATATATATTTGTTATTTTCAGGGTTATTTCCATTCACGAGCAACTATCTAATCTTGCACAAATAGCTGAAATATCATTGCCATCAGTTCCTGAAATTACTTCCGATGAAGATGTACATGAAAGGGAAGAAAGAGAGGCGAAGCCAATTGATAGAGATATGGAAGTAAGTTGCTAGATGTTAGAAAGCAGCACTGCTATTGCGGGTGGGTCCCGAGACGCAGGCGTGTTTATTTTTTACTTCATAAAAGCATAAAAATACAACTAAGCTTGAACTTCTTGATTCTTCCTGCTATTTTCCTTGCTTATCTTATCAGATAGGACCTAACTTTTTGACACGTCAGTTGTGTTTGCATCAAAGCTCTCCTCAGCACACTCATGACAAGAATCTTTTTTTTTTTTTTTTTTTTTTTGGTTTTTTTTTTTTGGTGGAACCAAGGATTGAACTCAGGCCCTTGCGCTTGCCAGGGAAGCGCTTATTCCACTGAGCCATCTCCCTGCCTCCCACATGACAAGAATCTTATAGTGAATAAGAAAAATGCCAGTCTAGAGAAACTATTTAGTATAATCATGAACCCAAAGAAATGATCCTTTTAACCTTATAAAATCACTTTTACAATTTAGCTTTATTTTTTCTTTATTTTAAAGAGACAAAAAAAACCCTAATAAAATGATACAGAATTTCAAAACAAGATGATAAGAAATTAATCATTAATTATTACATCGGATATTGTTATCTTCAAAGTAGTTGCTCAGATTACCAGGTACAGGCACATTTTAGTTTTATTTATATTTATTTATTTGATGTATTTTAGTACAGAGTCTACAGGGTCTCACTACACAGATCAGACTTATAGTGATCTTCCTGTTTTCAGCCTCCCAAGCGCTAGCTTTGTTATTTAAATGTTATTATCTAACTGCATAAATCAAAACTAAAAAATATAGATGAACATACGCTCTTTCAGATACCTTATGCATAGGTATTTTTCTCACCCAAACACGGGATGGGGAATCATCCTGATCGTGTGCTATTAATCTAAACACAAGGCAGAGGGGGGATTTTGTGTGAAGGAAAGTCTGTGCTTTGGAGGAGACAAGAGGACCGTTTTCCTCCTATCCGATCCATCTGCAGTGCTGAACCCATTGAGAAATGGGGCACAAGAGATGCGCGTGGGGAGACTGAGATATCAGCATCGTTACTCATAGTGCTGGGTTGCTGTGGATCTGCAGCCAAGTGAGTGCGTTAATATTTTACCACGGAATTAGCCAGATTTCCTACCTAGGCATAGAGTTGTGTGGATGCGTGACCACAGGCCTCCCCGCTCCCCTACTGCTTCCTGCCAAACTTACTGCGGGGAGGAAGTGGAGAATAATGGTCCTGCAGGCAGGGCGCCTGCAAAGCACATCAGCAAGGTCCTGAGGGACTGAGCAGGCTTGCGGGCTGGCTTCTCGCAAACTTCCCCATCCATCGGTTCCTTCCTCCTGGGGTGAATCAGTAAGGGGTCCAAAGCAGCTGCAGTGTCCTTCTTTCTTTGGGAGGAGAGTGGAAATTCTTCACCCTCCTTAGGGTAGGGATAGAAGATGCGTGCTGTTCCCCAACGCTATCTATGCACTGCATTTGTGTGTTCATCCTCTTTCGTGATACATAATCTGCAATTATGGTGGGCATTCTTGAAAGAACCAAACAGCTCAAACTGGCCTAAAATGAAAGGGAATTTTCTGCCCAGGCTGTCTGCACTTTGCAGTACCGCTTGACACACACAAACGCTTTCACCTCATTTAGGTGTTTCTTGTGTTGTTTGCTAAATAATATGAGAAGTAACAGACTGTCTTAAACTGTTAATGGGCCAGCAGAGGCTGGTTCCCTGTCTCCTCACACCGGCATCCAGGCTGGTGACGCAGCCACTGTGAGGAACGTAAAGGGAGACATCACACGCTGGCTCCGAGTGTCCTTCCTAGCACATCCCTTGCCATTTGTTGGCCAAATGAGTTACATTCTGTGTCATTAATTTCACTACCATCATTTTGGAAGGAGGAAAGCCAGAGATATGACTGAATACTACTAATGAAGGCCTTACAATGAAGATTTTTTTTTCTTGAAGTATCTGTTGATTTAATGTTCTAGTATATAGAGATTTAGGTAAGTTATTGCTTCCAATACTTCCTTTTCTTTTCTTTTCGTAATATTATTGCATCACAAAATCTAGTTAGACCAATATTTAGTGTTTACATTTTTATGGCCATGTGAACAGTGGTTACAAGTCACTCAGGTAGTATACTGTGGTAGTTTCCTTGCTTGGACATTTGGTTTCTCTCTCCCTCTCCTCTTCTCTCCCTTCCTTTTTCCTCCCCTCCCCTCCCCTTCCTACTTCCTTCCAATATAGGAGAAATACAATCCCAACCTGCTGAGTGTTAGATGTGCTGAGTTTGTGTCCCCTGAAATTAAAGAATGAATTCTAAAGAACAAAGGAAGTCAAGAGTAGGAAGGAATTCTTGTGAGCTCTCTCTTGAGTGAGAGACAGGACACGTCCCAGAAATGAGTTGTCACCAAGGTCATTTCCCTAAGAATGTTTTATAAAGCAAAAATCATGAGGTGGGTACAAAATCACAGCATAAGTCAAACTATAATCAACGTGAAAGACACAAGTGTGGCTGTTTCTCTAATAGAGATCCAGTAGGGAAGCAGGTCGCGTAGCAAGGGTACAGGGCAAGAACAAAGTCACGTGGGGAAGAGATGAATCTGGATGCTCTTGTCAGCCACCTAGGGGGCTGATGCCTCGTTGGACTTCATGGACGAGGTGATGCTAATTGCAGTGTAGTTGAAAGCTGCTGCGGCTCCTTGGGGGACATGTCGATGTGGCCACTGCGTCCTTCTCGAGGGCTGGTCTTCAGCTGCTCCCCCAGCCACAGTTCTGGTCTCTTTTATTTTCTGCCCACTTCCTTGACAACACAGTCCCTCTCTGACAGCATATTAACTTTTATCTAATTTAGCTGCCCACAACTCTTCATTCCTTTTTTCTTTTCCCCCCTCCCATCTTTCTTTCTTTCTTTCTTTCTTTCTTTCTTTCTTTCTTTCTTTCTTTCTTTCTTTCTTTTTTCCTTCTCCTTTGCAGTGTTGGGGAGTGAATCTAGGGCCTTATGCCTGACAGGTAAGTGTTCTACCACTGAGCTATGGCCTGTTCCGTTTTCTTGGCTTGTATTTATCCTTAACTTTTTCTGTTCATTGCGCTGATCTTGCGTGTATTCGCATGTAAGTTCCTGCTCACCGTTCATACATACCACATGTTACCTGGGTTCCATTTTCCTCCTCGGGCCTGCTTACCTCCCTGTCCACTTGGAGCCTGGCTGCCCTTAGTGCCCGCTGTGTGGCTCTGTCCTGAGCTGCCTTTGCTGCTCTCCTGGTTGAGTTCCCAGCCTGCTTTTGTTCTCTTTGTGTCTGGCTTGGAAGATTATTTTTCTTGAGTCATTTCCTGCTAGGTTAGTATTTCATTGGTTACCAATAACAAAGTACTTTTTAGTTCTTAAGCAGTATCATTATTGTTCTCAGCTTTCTTGCTTGTGCCGTTCAGGCTCTCTCCATGTCAGTATGTAAAAGCTGGCAGCTTTGCCGGTTTACAGAGTATACTTTGGCATTTTCAGTCTCAATTACCAGTGGAGTGAGCAAACACAGCTTTCATTATAAGAAGGACTGGTGTGGATATAAGAGAGTCTATCAGGCAAGTGTAGTTAGCTTTTGCGAAATGCCACTTGCCAACATTTACATTTTCTGTGCTCTGTCCCTGGCTTTAGCCTAGAGCAGACATCTTAATATTTTGGTTTCACATCCTTTTTAGTGTCCTCAGATGCTGCCACATATACTAAGGTGCTTACTGCTGTGCAGTACTGAGTGTTCATAATACATCCTCCAGCGGTCACATAGCGCGAGCTGTCTCAAACTCAGGAGATTAGATAGAGAGATAGAGAGATAGATAGATAGATAGATAGATAGATAGATAGATAGATAGATAGATAGATAGATATTTCTTGTATGCAGTGTACGTTTCCCACTCATGCCTATTTCCAAGAAGAATTTGGCACTTTCATTTTCATGCTGCTTTTGGAGAGTACTTACAATCACAGTTTTTCAGTTACAGACAAACTTAGCAGATTGCAGTTCTTTCAGACATAGTTCAGAACATTCTTTGACAAAATGGTCCCTAAACCCAATTCTACAAAGTTCATATCTGGAAAATGGTTATTTCCTCCCAAACCAATATGTGTTTTCTACTTAGGTTATCCGAGGCAGGACAGAGTTTCTAAGACTAAGGATTCTAGAAGGCCAGTCCATGACCCTTTCCAGGAGTTAATTTTCTTCTCAGATCTCCCGTAAATGGTCTTTTCTGTGAAATACTGCTTTGAAATAGGCAGCAGGGCTCTTGGGGTGGACTCTCCTGAATATTCCTGGCAGTCAGATGTGGGTGTGAAATTCATGACAAGGAACTGAGTTTCTGAGTATGGCTAGAAACAAATCGGGTCTCCGTGGAGCTGAGAGGTAGGAAGGCTAAAGGTGGATGGAAGAGGGAAGCCCTGCCTCAGTGAAGGTTTAGGGCTTGATTTTGTGTCTGGTCTTGAGTAGCTTATATGAGCAGAGCAAACTGGTTTGTCTTCGTTTTGTTGTGTTTTAGCCAGGGTCTCACTGTGTACCGTAAGCCCCTGACTTACGGATGTTTGAGTTGCGAGCTTTCACAGATATGAGTGGACCCCCAGGGCCGAGATTCACAGATGTGAACTGGCTCCTCTGTCTCGCAGACACTGTAGCAGTTGTGCTCTGTGTGTTTGCTGCATGGTGTGAGAGTGCACAGGAGGACAGTGCTCAGTGCAGCCCAGGATGTTCAGAAGCCAGCGGAGCAGCCATGGTGAGGAGCAGAGGACAGCTAGGAAGTGCAGAGCACTAACCTGGGAGACAAATCTGAAGAGCACAGGGTAAGACTCACTTTGTCAGGCTGACGAATGGATCTGACTTGTGAATGTTCTCTTGGGATGGAACTCTTCATAAGTGTGAGACTTACTGTACGTTAGTCAGCCCGGCCTTCAACTCACTGCATGGCCCAGGCTGGCCTCGAACTCCCAGTGACCCTCCTGTGTCAGCTTCCTGAGTGACGGGATTACAGGGATATGCCACCATGCCTGGAGACAAGCTGTTTTTAATCTTAATATTCTCTTCCCTATTTTTTGTCTTAGGAAATGTTTCTTTAGTTTTAAAGTAAGGTATTTTACATGGATTTTAGTTCTTTTTGATTTTGCATATTAAAGAACATCACCAGGTAGAAGAAACATTAATTATTTGTTTAGGTGAATGGGCAAATGAATGAGCTCAGAATATTTAAAAGTTGAGAAATTAAAGTAATATGTAGATTTTACTACCCCCCATACAAAGCAGCACTTTAAAAAAATCAGGGTTCTGAGTTATATCAAATAAATCTCATTGACTAAACTTGCTACTTCGTTGTCATGACAACCATCACTTGGAGCTAATTAGAAGTTAACTAGGACACTTGAAGCAATCGATTCTGGTCTTGAATTGGGTGTGATTTCATAGCTTCTATAATCTTTTTCTATTACAGTGTGTATTGTTGGTGTGTTATTGACTATGAAAGGCCAAAGATGTGCCTTTGGCTGATACATGAGGTGGTGAATTTCTGTTCCTTTTTTCTTTCTCACTCTTCCACATTTTCTTTTCTTTTGTTCTCTTCTTGGGGAAATCTCTGGGACCCAGCATAAGCCAGAAACTTTAGAACACCATACTAATTTAAGATCAACGACAAAGGGTGTAGTGTAGGTGTTCCAATCACTTTTGGCTTGAAAAGTTTGTGCTTTCTACTTAAATGATGTATGCTGGCTCCGAATGACCAAGTTATTGTAATCTGTCATTCAGAGCTGGCAGATATATTGAGAACGTATCGGGTGCTTTAGAATGGAGGGGAGATACAAACCATCCCGATTTTAAGATGCAAACATTTCATTTGGAATGACAGATGCTGAGGCAGGAGCCTTAACACACATTACATCATCTAAGGTTCGTTCAGCAAATATTTATGAAATGCCTAGATGGTACAAGGCAGTTAAAATTAGCATATAACAAACACATGCACAATATCAAATTATGTGGAAGCAGAGACCAAAATACAATCGAACATTATCATGAATTAGCAAATCCTCTCTAAGATACCATTTATATACAAGTTTTCCAGGCTTGGGGAAGTAAAGACATACTGAAATAAATACTGCTGGATCCCTGTTGTGGAGAGGCTTGATGACTCTCTCTCTCTCTCTCTCTCTCTCTCTCTCTCTCTCTCTCTCTCTCTTTCTCTCTCTGTGTGTGTGTGTGTGTGTGTGCTCATAGGTCATTTATAATGACCCCAGGTCCTGATAGCCCTGTGTTGGCAAAGTGTTGTGCTCACAAGCTGATCTTCAAAGCTCTTCTTTACAGAATCTTTCCTAGGAGGATCCATAAATAAATCCTTTAACTATACACAGCAAAATCACTAAATCTTTTTTGCAACCTTATTAGCTAGTTTTTGTAACCATAATGAAGTTTGATGCAGGCTACTAATGAAGAAAAGAGCTTTATTTAGCTCCCTGTTTTAAAGATCCAAGCAGCATGGCACACACTGGCTCTGGCTCTGGCCCATGGCAAGTGGCAGATGGTGGAGTGCCTGCTGAAATGAATCATGGCCTGAGCAGAAGCAGAGCTGAGCCGAGTAGGGCAGGCTTGGTCCTTTCCTAACAAGCTTCTCAAGAGAATCCCAGGATTGCAGAACCTCTGTTTTGAGCATGCGTCCTAAGTGAGGTATCTTCAAGTCACCCATTGGTCATCTTCATAGATTTAACAGGCGTTGCACTGAAAAGGGACCTGACAAAAGCTGGGCAAGAGCCATTCCATGCCCTTTCTGCCCTCATCAGCTATGACACACTTCCAGCCACCTCCTGACTTGGATGGATGAGCTCACTGCTGCTCCTGTCCTGGTTTCTGTGGTGGTGTGGTCACGTGAGGGGTGTGCAGCCCCAACCTCACATCAGCCAGTTTCTCAGTGTGCCTATGTAGTGTTCCTCGAATAACACCAGGGATACAGGGTGTGGGTGAGAGGGGATTTCTGTTGGACAAATGTTGAGATGGGTGATAAAGGCATCTACCAGCTAATGTTACCCTCTTCATCTGCTTTGTGAGACAGCGCTACTTTCCTTGACTGCTCTTAATGGAATCAGAACAGTGACCATCCTGGCTGTTACTGAAATGGTTTCTATACCAAGAAAATATACTTCAGCCAGGCCTGAGAGCTCGAGTAGGAGCGTAGAACTAAGCTACGTGAGGATGGCAGGCGGAGGTGTGTGTGCCTCTGTCTGGCAGAGTGGCCGTGAGCCTGGCATCTTTGCCGTCAGGGTGGTGCTGATGCGTGGTGGGCCTGCCACCTGCCTTCTGTACTCTTCAGCCCCGTGGAGCCATCCCTCGTCCAGTTCTAATCAGCTCTCTGCCCCATGGCCCTGGCAGCTACCTTGCCGATTTCTCTCTCACACCTCTGTCCAGACCACTTTGCCTTTAAGTTGTGGTCTGATTTTTTTTTTAAAGGCAGTCTCTATCTTTAATCCCTCAGTCTCCTTCTTCCCAATTTCCCACAATAAAATCCAGATTTTTTTTTTTTTTTTTTTTTTTTTTTTGGTGTTGGGGTTCAAACTCAGGACCTTGGGCTTGCCAGGCAGTGCTTACGCTGCTGAGTTATCTTCCTGCCCCAGATTCCTGACTCTTGTCTAAGCTTCTATACCTGTACCTCACAGCCTGTTTGTCACTGTTTTCACCTGTAGATAGGACGGTCAGACCTCGTGTTCGCTCAGTGTCCCCTGCTTGTTACCCAAGGAGGCCGCCTCCACCTGCTGTCTCCACCTCACTCTAGTGAAAATCCTAGTCTTCCCAGGCTCAGCTCCTGTCCACCTTCTTCCAGGAAGTCATCCTTGTTAACCTTACCCAGACTTACTCTTCTCCACCTGTAGGATCCCGTAATAGGTCACCTGAGCACACATTCTGCTTGGTATTTAATTTAGTTCAGTATGAGTCTATTTTTCTTAGTAGTTATAGATATCATGAGGCTCTTACGTTTCATCTTTGTGCATTTAATATAATCTCTTGAATATATTTGTTAGACTGAATTGAATTAGATTTGCTTTGCTACTCTAGAACTGGATGGTCTCCGTGTTGATGCATTTATTAAAACAGATATAACATGGTGTGGGACTGTCAGGTCTACTGTTGATTGCTTCTGTTTTAAGGTTTTAACCAGTGTCAGTTGTAATTTGAAAATGAATGTATTTTCTCATGTTACCCTTCTGAATACTGGTTCATGTATTTATTAATACTGTGATTTAAAAAAAAAAACAATTGCTTGGGGCCGGGGAGATGGCTCAGTAGAATAAGCACTTCTCTGGCAAGTGCAAGGGCCTGAGTTCAATCCCCGCTAGTAAGTTACCTCATGCAGAACCAAGGATGGGAGATGAGGTACTGTGGGCCTTACGGAAAATGGAAGCAGAGCCTTAAGAGCCAAGACTGTGCACAGGTTGGCAGGACCTTGCTTTTGCCTCAGCTTAGCGGCCTTCTTTTACCCCTCACCTCCTCCTCGGTGGTTCCCTTCCCCCAATTCCCCTTGTGCATTCAGCTCCCACAGCCAGTACCTACTGGAGTTTGCCTCTGTCCTCCTCCTCTACATGGTAGCAGAACAATAATCTGAGGCTGCCCCAGCTCGGGTTGGTGTGTCTCGGGTCCAGTGCCCACACATATCCACTGCTCTGTCCCAGTAGTCAAGGACACGGACAGTATCATCAGTGGACAATGCATGCATGCTGTTGCCGCTCTGCCTTCCTTTCCATTCATTCTTCCTGCCTTCCTGACCTTGCCATTCCCCTTTGGATAAACCATTTTCTAAGTCCAAATCTCTTCATTTTAGGGCTTTTTTCTCAGAAGAAAAGCAATTTCTGAAAGTCTTGCTTTGGTGCAAATTCCTTTACTTATTATTCCCCTGTAACATGAATTTCAACAATGAACATAAACAGAATCCTAAAATAATGTGTTATTCTTGATTAATTGCAGATCTTACATTTTATGGCCATCTTGTATTGCTTCATATAACCCTGATTACTTAAGAATTGTAATTTCTGAGCCCTTCTGTTTCTCAGAACTAGATTTCTGTTACTTAGAACTAGATTTGAACATAATAAACAAGACAAATAAGTAGTTTACAATTTAATATGCAGTATCTATAATATTAGTCTTACTGTGTGTCCTTATTTCTAGCGCATGATTATTGAAAGTTGCTCTGAAGTCAAAGCTCTCTTCGTGCGTGACAGAGCGCCGACGCCACTAACGGAGGTAGGTCCCTCTCAGACTTCTCCTCTCATTCACAAGGGTTATTAATGTGGAAAAGAAGACCCAGACAACATCTTGTTGCAAGTATCAAGGCCTCACCTTTCTGAATTAATGTAAAAAAGTGATGATTGTGAGCTTACAATAGCATATTGCTTTGGTTAAAATATTCTTTATAAAAAATTCATTGAGTGCAGAAAATTATGAAGAGGGTCATTTCACAACCACTTCAAAGCTAGCATCAAGAGAATAGCCCTAATTGACATTTGGAGAACATGTGGAACTTGTATGTCAGTGGGATTATACTCCATATTCTGTAAGCATTCTATAACTTGCTTTATGAAACAATAATACAGTGGGGATTTTTTTAATTTGAAGTCTACCCAGTCACTTTAATGGCTGAAAAATAGCCTCTTTTGTGTATTTATTGTGCCAGGTACTATTTGTGTAGTTAGATACTGATAGATCTTGAAGTTGACAGACTCTAGTACATACCGATTACTGTGCATTATTTCCTGAGTTAAGTTTTAGGAATTGGATTTTGAAGTAAAAACTACATGTATAGGGGATGGGGAGATAGTTCAATGGCATAAGCAGCTCCCTGGTAAGTGAAAGGTCCTGAGTTAGATCCCCTGTAGCACATGCCATGCTGGCCACTGAAACTGGATGTGGTGGTGCGTGCCTGTAATTCCCGTGCCGGGGGAGCTGGGAAAGGAGGATCACACTATGAGTACAAGTTGCGTAGCAAGACTGTGTATCAATCAATCAATCAATCAATCAATATTAGAAAAACTATAATACCAATGAAAATTATAATAAAATCAAACATGCACAATACCAAATTTATAATTTTAACAATCTGAAAATACACAATGCAGTGGCATTAAGTATATTCATAGTGCTTTGTGAACATTACCATCTTCTATCTACATCTCTAGAACTTTTTTTTTTTTTTTTTTTTGGTACTGGGGATCAAACTCAGGACCTTGCACTTGCCAGGCAGGTGCTTACACCAGTGAGCCATCTCCCCGGCTTCTCGAACTTTTTTTATCATCCCAAACAAAACTTTGTACCAGCTCAACAGTTAGCTCCCACTCCTCATCAATCACCTTTCCAGCTCTGATAACCTCTACTGTACCTTCTATCAGAATTGGCCTATTCTAGGCCTCTCGGATAAATGGTGTTATGTAACACCTGTCCTGCTATGTCTGGCTTATTTCATTTAGTATAATGTTTTCAGAGTTACCTACATTGTAGAAGTCTCAAAGTTTTATTCCTTTGAAAGCTAAATAATATTCCATTGTATCTTTATCCCACCTTTGTTCTGCGGACATCGCATAGTTAACAGATATTAAGGTTGCTTTCACCTGTTTTCTATTGTAAATTCTTCTGCCATCAAGGAGGGTGTACAAGTATCCATTTTACTTCCTGTTTTCAGCTCTTCAGGGTACGTGGTGTATTTAGGAGTGGAATTACTGGATCACAGCATCCACTGGGATTACCTTTTTGAGGAACCCCAAACTATTCTTGTATACTTCTGCCAGTGATGTGCAGGGTTTCTAACACCTCCACATTCTCACCAACTCCCGTTATTTTCCTTTGCATTTATTTTGTATTCTTTACTTTTGATGCAGGGTCTCATTATGTAGTTCAGACTCGTAGTAATGCTCCTGTCTCAGGCTCCTTTGTGATGGGATTATAGGCTTGTGCTACTGCACCTGGTTCTGGGGCCAGTATGGTGCGCCCAGCAGTCCCAGGCTGGCACAGTGCACAGTACTGGGGATCAAGCTTGGGACCCTGTGCTTGTCAGGCAGGCACTCCGACTGCTGAGCTCTCTTCCTAGCCCCATGCTTTGCTTTTCTTAACCTTCGATTAATTAATTAATTAATTAATTTTTGTGGCCGGCTCAGCCTGCCCTGGGGGCGGGGCTGGCATGGCATGTGATACTGGGGATTGGGCCACTGTCCACTGCACTTGCCTAAGCTTGCCTAAGCAGGCATTTTAGACTGCTGAGCTATTTCACCAGCTCTATCCAATGCCTTTTTTTTTTTTAATAGCATCCATCCAAATGGGTGTGAAGCTGGATCTTATTGTGATTTTTGATTTATTCATTTGTAATGACTGATAACTTTGAACATCTTTTTATTTACTAGCCTTATCTTCTTTAGGGACATAACTATTCAATCATTTGTCCGTTTGAATTGAGATATAGAATTTGATATATGATGATACAAATGGCCCTTGGGAATTGTGTCACCAGCTTTCTCTCCCTTCAGCAGCAGACGAGAGGAGCAGGGTAGTCACACATGTATGTGCACTGGTCCTCCTCCTTTTCCTTCTCCTTTTCCAGATGGCTGTAAGTCTGACAAGTGAAAAATAGTGTGTCATTGTTTTGCTTTAATTATTAAGGTCAAGCATATTTCATATGTTGATTGACAATTATGAAATGAACTTCATTCTTATGCTGGGCCAGCTCCTGTCGAGAGTTGGCTGTCTTTGGGTCAGGAAATCCTTCCTAGTCACTGAAGAACCAGCCGTGAGAAGCATCAGGCACTTCACTTTTGTGGAGCTGAAACTTCAATGGAAGAAAATTAACAAATTAGCAAGAACATTTCAGATTTTAATTGTTATACCGCACAAGGAAATGGAGAAATAAATTAGAGTAGGGTCTGGTTCACTACATGCTGTATACTGCAACTTGGCCACTGTCTGTTTTTCAGTAATGCTTTACTGGAATACTGCCTTGCTCATTTGTTTATTTATGATCCAGAGCTGGCTTCTTAGTGCCACAAGAAGATGTGCAGCTTTGATGAAGCCGGTATAGCCTATGAAGTCTGAAGTATTTATTTTCTGGGCCTTTATAGAAAATTTGGCTGGGTGGGTTGGAACATGCCTATAATCTGAGCACTCAGGAGGCTGAGGCAGGAGGCTGGGTTGTAGACCAGCCTGGAATACATAATGAATTCTAGGCCAGTCTGAGAGGACTTGTATCAACTCCCCCCCAATAAATAGGAAAAAGAAAGAGGAAAGAAGGAAGAAGGAAAAAAGAAAGAAAGAGAAAAAGAAGAAAAGAAAGGAAGGAAGTCAGAAAGAAAGGAAAAGAAAATTTGCTGGCGTCTCTGATAGTAACAAGGAATGGCATCCCGGCTTAGCTATGGTGGTCAGGGGTCTCGCTGAGGAGATGACATTTGCAGCAAGATCAGAAATGTTACCCTTTTCATTAGATTATTTGCTTGTTGGGAAAGCAATGATGCTGCCTTCATCAGTGAATTCTCAGAGTGCCTTACATCACATCACTCCGTCTCTATTTAATTGAATTTCTGTGTGTGTATGTGTGTGTGCGTGTGCGTATGTCTGTCTGTCTATCTGTCTGTCTGTGTCTATGTGTCTACGTGTGTCTGTGTTTCTGGAGATTGAATGTAGGGCCTTCACACTGAGCTATGTCCCCAACCACTTTTAATTCTTTTTTAAATTTTGAGACAGGGTCTTGCTAGCTTGCTAAGTTATGCTGAGCAGGTTGGGCTGGAACTTGCACTTCTCCTGCCTCAGCCTTCCAGCGTGCTGCCAGCGTGGGTGGACACCACTATGCCTGGCTTTCCTTTAGTTTGTGCACCTGAAATTTAATCTTTCATTTCTAAAAAAGTTCACTTTTTATGTCCTTTTCCAATTTTAAAAAAGGGAACTTAATTTTTTATTACAGAAATAAATAGATTTACTAAGGCAAGCATTGAGTAAATCAAGCTTAGATCTAATTTTGGAAACATCATGGTTGGAAGTAGGTCACACATGCACTAGTTATATAAGAGGCTGGCTGCGCAGTGTCAGTGTGCCCCGGCCTCGGGCCGATCTGGGCTGCAGCCCAGTGCCGAGGTGTGGAGCTGTGTCTCCGTGGGCAAGTCGGCTGACTTCTCTAGGCTTCAGTTTCTCACGTGTAAAGTGAGGTAGTAACAGCTCCCACGAGAACTAAATAATGTACATCAATGGATGTCACGTTGTTTGTATAGGGCTTCGTACAGATAACTGTTCAGTAAGGATTTGCCGTTGAAGCATTACACTCATTATCGTCCCTTCTCTGCCCTGGCTTTACCGTCCGTGTGAGGAGGCTTCACCCGACGCAGCTGATTTCAATTAATATTTTTCTCTTTCTTTCTTTCTTTCTTTCTTTCTTTCTTTCTTTCTTTCTTTCTTTCTTTCTTTCTTTCTTTCTTTCTTTCTGGTATCAGGGATCAAACTCAGGACCTTGCTCTTGTCAGGTGAGCACTTATTCCACTGAGCTGTCTATCCAGCCTCTTAATTAAAGTTTTGATCTCTGTATTTGCTTGTGAAAAGTCCTAAAGGTTTAAGAAGGAACAGGAACCCTTCTCCTTGCCTACCATGTAAAGTATTATTGAATCTCTTGGAATCAGATGAGTGTGCAGGATTCCAACACAGGACCCCAGGTGACAGGCACTTGTCCTCTAGGAGGTACCTCCTGCTTCAATGTTTTCCTTCTCATGAACTCACCACAAGAATTGTGTAATTTGTCAGACAAAAACTTATAGGCTTCATGGAGCCATTTTTTGTCACCAGTATGCAGCCTGGCTGTGCACCTTGGCTCCTCACTGGACATGCTTGTTACAAACTACCTGTGCTTATAGTGCCTCTTCTTAATTAAAAGAAGCCTTACAGGTCATAACTTGTGATGAAAAGCAACTGAGAATAGCAAGGAGATGAAAGAAAGGAATTAATGTCCCTGCCAAGCTGCTTAGTGTTACCCAGGGGATATCAGTGACCGTTGAGTATAACTTCTGGTCAAGCAGCACGTGAAAGCATTGCTTCTGTAAGTTTGAATTATTGCAGCTTCTGTGTTGTCAGACAGGATCCAAATGTGATGCTAAAAATATTTTCTTTGTTCTTGCTGTGATGAACCATAAGAACACGTAAGTCCTTTTATACAATCACCTGTCTGTTATTAATTATTGACGACATGCAGATCACTAATGTAGTTTTGTATCTACAAAGCCAAC